TAGGAAGGGGAAACACGGATGGATATACAACTAAGAGTCAAAACTCATACGCCAGCACGGGAAACACAATCAATGATAACACTTAGCAACAGGAATAATTTTATCACACCAAACTCAAATACACCACGCCAACAAAACTCGCTCTCCCGCCCCACGCCCATTTTTCCCTTTTTAAAGGATGCCCTGGGTTACTTCATCCAATCCCTGGGCACGTCGTCTGCATATCTAAGGCGGGGCCTGCAGATGGAAAGAGAGGGAGAGAGACAGACACACACACCTGGCAACTCAACACATTGCTCACCATGCATCGTTATTTAATTTTCTTTAATTTAATTTAACGCATTGAAAAGTGCGCATATTACATAAGTATTCACAGTCTTTGCTCAATACTTTGTTGATGCACCTTTGACAGCAATTACAGCCTCAAGTCTTTTTGAATATGATGCCACAAACTTGGCACACCTGTCTTTAGGAATTTTTGCCCATTCTTATTTGCAGTACCTCTGAAGCTCTATCAGGTTGGATGGGATGCGATGGTGTACAGCCATTTTCAGATCTCTCCAGAGATGTTCAATAGAATTTAGGTCTGGGCTCTGGCTTGGCCACTCAAGGACTTTAAGTTATTTTAGTCTCATGAGACCAGAAAATTTTGTTTCTTATGGTCTGAGAGTCCTTCAGATGACTATTGGCAAATTCCTGGCTTCCGTCTGGCCACTCTACCATAGAGGCCTGATTGGTGGGTTGCTGCACAGATGATTGTTCTTCTGAAAGGTTCTCCTCTCTAAACAGCTTTTTTATTTGTAATAAATTTGCAACAATTTCAAAAACTTTTTTCACATTGTCATTATGGGGTATTACGTGTAGAATTTTGAGTAAATAAATTAATTTAATCCATTTTGGAATAAGGCTGAAACATAAAAATATGTGGAAAAAATTAAGAGCTATGAATACTTTACGGATGTACTGTATATGCATTTTTAAGACACAAAGTTTGAAATGAAAAGATTTTCAATTTTACACCCGTCACTCATTGATGTCGGTTAAGGCAGTGGACTAATCAGAAGAACTCAAAGGCAAGGCAAACTTTGCAAGCTGCTGTTTACAGTAACAAGTTGGCACAACAATGGTTTTATCTGACGTCAACATGGCAGACGTGCTAAATCACACCGTTTTAGAGGCAAGGGTGCAATCTGTGTGAATGGCCACTAATGCTCTGTTTGAAAGTATTTTTTATTCTTTTTTATACTTGACTATTTACATGACTTTATTTTTGCTGTACTAATATGATTAGCAGGTAGTTCATGCGCGAACTGTACACTAATTGAAGCAAAGCACTAAAGATATATATATATATATATATATATATATATATATATATATAATTAAAGTGTAACATGTTAAAGTTTCTGGATATCAAAGAGGGAAATGTTTTTTTTAAAAAGTGCCAAAAATTGCAAACTGCAAACTGATATGATTCTGTCACGATCATTTTATAACTACAACACTGTTACTTCATTGCCAACTACAGAGAAGAAAAAAATCAAAACAGACAGCTTTGAATAAGATGCCTCAGGGTCAATTCGTGCAAAAGTATCTTTCCATCTAAAAACGTGAGAAGCAGAACACACACTCTCAGAAATAAAGGTACAGAAGCTGTCACTGGCACAGCTTCTAAAGATTAAATTACATGAAATCAAATCGAACCATATTGATTTTGTCAGCTCGCATTGCTTGCATAGTTTGTCATCAACAGTTAGTTCCCAAAAAGCTGTTTTCATGTAAAGAAACAGCAAAAGGCACCATGTTTGGCATACGTTTCCTATTTGTGGCTGAAAATGTTGTTGAAATAGCTCGTTTTAGATTTAAAAAGTTAAATGTTGTGGATCAAAGGACATCAGAAGCTACATCTACACGATTCCGGATAAATCTGAAAACTTCTTGTCCAAATAAACCATGTATACACTATCAATTTAATAAGCCTCACAGCAAGAAGGTTGCTGGGTTGCTGGTTCGAGCCTCGGCTAAGTTGGCATTTCTGTGTAGAGTTTGCATGTTCTCCCTGTGTTCGCATGGGTTTCCTCTGAGTCCTTGGTTTCCCCCACAGTCCAAAGACATGCGGTACAGGTGAATTGGGTAGGCTAAATTGTCCGTAGTGTGTGTGTGTGAATGTGTGTGAATTTTTCCCAGAGATGAATAGAGGCTGGAAGGGCATCCGCTGCGTAAAAACTTGCTGGATAAGTTGACGGTTCATTCCGCTGTGGTGACCCCGGTTTAATAAATGGACTAAGCCGACAAGAAAATGAATGAACACTATCGTTTTCCATTCTTTCCATCATCCACACTAAAATGATTTTGTTCAGTACTGCACATTAGCAAAAGATGCTTTTACCTGGATCATATCCGCCTGCCATTTATTTACTTTCCATCTCTTTGAAATGTTGCAGCAAAATATTGTTTCCGCTGCAGAACAATAGTTCCCAGTAAGCATTTCATGTCCTTTAAAGAGTGGCATGTACATATTGGCTTTAATCTTTAAAGGGCACATAGTTTACCCATTTTTTTTTATTTAATATTAGTATTAAGTTTCTTTTAAGTGTGCCAGTTTAGGTTCAGTTTAAAACACAGTTCAGATTTTTTTATTATAATGTATTAAAAAGTGTCATGTTGGGGGCGTGTACACAGCTCGCTGTTTTAGGGGCGTGTTGCTTCACATGAAAATTAGTTTCGGCTTCCCGCCCAATGTAACAAGGGGGCGGAGCCAAGAGCTCACCAGCTCTGTGTTTGCAGCAGACAGGCAGACTGATAAGCTACATGAGAGGATCAGCATTCAGTCTTACATGTACGACTCGGACACAGACCAAGCAGAGAGTACACAATTATTTGTGTCTTTGCATAGTTTTACACACAACTGTGTGCTAGTTTTAAGTGTCAAACTTGTACACCGAGACTAATAACCACGCACACTGAATTAACTTTGACTGAGGCACCGGATGTACAGCTCGAAGCCATGACACGGCACACCAGACACTCTCTGTGGTGCAGCAGAAACATGAAGTGTCCCGAATCGTCGCGCCACACATTTTAGAACTCGAAACACAGGGCACACACAACAGCGCCCCAAGTCGGCGGCTGTCCGCGGCACCCAGCCACCAACTTGAAGCCGCGTGCACCATGACAGAAACCCACGCCCAGAATTCCAAAATGCATGGTGCCAATTTAGCCAATCAAAACACTCAGACGCATTTACGTCCATGCGGTTTGTAAGAATAAAAGCCTGTGAATGTTTTTTCCAGATACATTCCAGTTACTATGACCATTTATGTGAAGCTGCTTTGACACAATCTACATTGTAAAAGCGCTTTACAAATAATTAATTAATAATTAATTAACTTTACCTACAACTAAAACAACTAAAGTACGATTTATGAAGTGTGCCTTACACAGTTGAGTAGGCTTGACAAACCACATGTAGAAACCGTTCTCTTTTTCTTTGTCTATACCCCCCCCCCTTCCCCCATTCTCTAATACCCAATTCTCTGAGCACTAATAGTTCCCTTGTATAATTAGTACTCGTGTATACTGCCTCTCCTAGTTGAATCGCTAAGTGCCTCCTCAATTGTAACTTTTCTTGCTTGTTCAAACTACTTATTAAAAATGAGTTGAAAAAGTTTGAGGGACAACTTATGTCAAATCCACTTAAATTTGTAAAAACAATCAACTTAAATCGATTTATGTTGGGACAACATGAAGGAATTGTGTGGAACCCGGCATTTTTCCAGTGACAAAGGTATCTGTTAAATGAATAAATGTAAACGTATTTAGTTGATGAAACAAGAGTGTTTCTCATGAGGATATTGAAGGTATGGATTTTTTTTTTAGGTCAGGTTTTCCAACTTTCTTCATTTTCCATTCCTCTATTAACCAAGCGTTTGATCGTTCTGCAAGAGAACTGAGAGATTAGTCAAATCACTTAAATTTAAATCCCCATCTTACCCTAAAATAGAGGGCCACACAGAATCGGCTGAGCTAAGTGTGTGAGTCAGTTGTGGTTGAGGATAAATTTTGCTATTCTGCTCTGCTTTATTTTTGGTTCTTCAGATTAATAAAGTGTTCTAAATACTGAAGGATAAATTTATATATATATATATATATATATATATATATATATAATAAATTGTTTATACAATTAATTGTTTCTGTCAAATTTTATGTAAAAAAATGATGTAAATCATTCAACTATACCATAATTTAGATAAGACACCCATTAAAAGGTCAAAGTAATAGTTTATATACACCAAAAATTGTCAGAACTATTTATATACAATCATCTGATGACACAGACATTTTAAATACTTATTCATTGCCATTTTTAGTCCTTATACTTTGCCACATTCATTTAAACCTCTAGACTTTGATCATTTGTCAGCTAAAGACATCACTTAAAATATAATATGATCACATTCTTTTTTTATATACTTTATTAAATATGGGTCAGAAGTAGTGTGTGATTTCATTTGTACAAAATATATCTGATATGCTAAATTAATGACATTTATGTGACCCCTTTTCCCTTTATTTCTATTAAATATGAGTGTATTTTTTCCTCATAGTACTGTATATTAATATTTTACCCCTTAAACCATTTTATTTAAATGTTTTTTTTTTTTTACATTTATGGTGACACATTTTGTGGCTGATGTCATCTTAATGAGTTTTTTTTATAAATTTTATATGAAGAAATAATTTGCCTGACCTTTACATAATGTAAACTAAAGACTTAAAAAGTAAACATTCAACCATGTCTTCTGATGGCCACTAGAGTTCAGTGTGAATCCACTTTGTACTCTATTAAAAAAGCTCTCTAAATATTCCTATTTGGAAATATTGATTTATGCATCTCACGTTTTTCAAAAACCCCTATTTAAAGCAAATCAACTCTTACCAATGTGTTAATAGCAAAAATTACAATAAAAAGTAGTAAAGAAAAAAAGCCAGACGTCTTTTTTTAGCATGCTGTTCTTGCAACAGCATTTTTATTAGCAAAATAATGAATATTAGTCAACATTTCTTCCCATCCAATAAGAACCTACATTAAAGGGAAGTTTACAACCATTTGAATTGATCAGGCTATTATCAGAAAAACGGTCTGCATTCCTACTGAAGGTTTCTATAGGATTTTCTATTATACAGGTTGTCTAGATTAAATTATGTAACCAAGTATGAACCTAAAACAAACAAAAAAAAAAAAAGTCCTATTCTTTGGTCCCTTTAAATCCATTTGACAACGGTTGGTTCCCTTTGATCAGTAAAAATGTCTCTTATTGTGAAATGTTGACCTTTTGAGGAGTTCCCCATTAAAACAGTTCATGATGTGCAGGTGCACAGGAACCAATTCAACAGCTAATTTGAAGCTCACCGCAGTTTTTCCATCATTCCAATCACAGGCAAATCTGACACACACACACGCTGTGCTGCTAATGACGGCTGTACGAGATTCAGCACAAGCTTTAAAAACTCTTAGGAACAGGCAAAAAGCTTTTGATATGTTTGGATTTTCCTGTTAAATTGATAGTTTTGTGGGAAAGCCCATTTCTGCCACAGGATTACAATTTGTAGCTTTTCTTCATAATTTTAACTAAATAGAGCATTTAAATATGTAAAATCTGTATTGCGAAAAACTTAAAAACTGTGAGTTAAATTTAGCAACTTATGAACTTTAAACAATCTCAAATGTGAAAACTTACAATTCTAGTCAAAAATGAAGGACATAACTGCAAAATTAGCATACACACACACACACACACACACACACACACACACACACACACACACACACACACACACACACACACACACACACACACACACACACACACACACACACACACACACACACGCACTGTGGAGCTTTAGTTAGAATTACAGCAAAAAGTAAAATCTGCAGCAAAATGTAGACTTTAAAGACTTTCAAGATTTAAACTCAAAGTTCCATTTAAGACAATTATAAAGACAAAATCTGAATTTTGACAGCTTTAAAGCGGAATTGCGACAAAAGTTAAAAGTTAAAACGGTGGCAGACTTGCAATACTAAAGTCAGAAATGTAACAAATTCAGCATTGCCACATAAATGCAGAATTGTGACAAAAAAATCTGAATTGTAACAAACTCACTAGCTTCATGTAAAGCAGAATCGTGAGAAATTGTCTTAAAAATATTAAATACCAGGGAAAAGCGTGGATTATTAAAGTCAGAATTTCCATTTAGAGATAAATATGAATTGCGCCAAACTCGCTCACTAGATAAAGCAGAATTTCCAAAAATGTAAAAAAAATTGGTATCACTTTTATTTGATGGTCTCTTTAACGGATTTTGTTGAATTTAAGTTACATTGCATCTACATGCCAAATAAATCTCAAAAGATTATAAGTAGACTGTTAGGTTGGGGTTATGGTTAGTGTATGTTCACAAGTACTTGCCAAGTCTCTTAGGCAGTTAAATATGTTGAAGGAGCAGACCCTCTACTAATACTCAAATTAGAAGTAATTGGAATGTAGTTGCACTGCAACTTTGTCAACAAAATGTGTAATGGGACCATCAAAATAAAGTTACCAAAAACTTAAATTAACAATTCTAAAAATCTGAATTCAAGATGAACCAAGTACTGCCACATAAAAAAAACAAGAATGCAATATATGTAGAAATGCGACAAGCTCAGAATGAAAAGTTTTAGCTTGCAATTTGTATCCCAGATTTGAGACCTTCTTGAAACACTGTGTAACATTTATTTAATTTTGTTTTTGCTACTTTTATTCCAAGATTATATGTCAAAACCAAAAACGTAAGTTAATCCTGTGACAGAAATAAGCTACTATACATTTAAACAGTCACTCACAGTTGTTTGGTCTTAAAAATATCAGGCTTTTTATACTACAGTTGAGCAGATGAGAGTTGTGTGGATAAATATCAACTGTCTCTTATTAAACTCAGTTGAAGTGGCAAAGAAAAGCACTGCAACATTAACTGAAGGCACATGACCTTAGTATTCGGAGTAAAAACTGGAAAAAAAATTGTTCCCAGAAACCCTTTGAATGAAAAATAGCCTTTAAAAAGGACCTTTAAAGACAATGTCTAAAAATGGTGAAAAATTCCAGGAACAATTACAGTTGTACAAATATTTTACACAAAATGCTCTTTTTTTTCTTCCCTAAAACACCCTAAAAAAATCTAAAATGTTCAGAGAACATAAATATGAAGTTAAGTAATGCATTCAACATTCAGGTTCATGGTTGACCTTCTTCCTGTTTTGGTTCTCCCAAAGATTTAACATCAGGCCACTCGCTGTCAACACTGCCAAAAGACAAAAAAAAAAAACCACACACTTAATGGAAAAATAAACAATCTTACCAGAATGATATGAATTCATGCAAAATAAAAATGAAGCTCTATTGTTCCTGCTCACCAATGAGCTGGCTTTAGAAGAGGCCGCAGTCCTTTAGGTTGTTTTTGATGATGACATCAGTGACGGCATCAAAGACGAACTGCACGTTCTTGGTGTCAGTGGCACAGGTGAAGTGAGAGTAAATCTCTTTGGTGTCCTTCCTCTTATTCAGGTCCTCAAACTGACACTGGATGTAAGCAGCCGCCTCTTCATATACGTCAGATCCTTATAGAGAGTTTTGACAGTTAAGAGAGCAAATCAGACATCTTTATACACACACATTTATTCCTCAAAATCTTTATTATATTTTATACTTTTTCCTCTACAGTCCTAAACTATGTATTATTAAAAAAAGACTATCCATCTAGACTTTATTGAAACTATTATTAATCTATCATTATAATATCGCTTATGATACCAGATACTTAAATTAAAATTAGAATAAAAAAATAGAAAATAACAAACACGAAAACAACTTGGTCTGCAATGTTCTAAATAAAGTTCTAATAAATCAAAATAATAAATGTTAAAAAATAAAGGGGGAAAATTATAAAAATAAAATAAAACAATGATTAGAAAACTAAATCTAGTATGTCATATTTTCCATATAAATTATAAAAGATTACTTATTATTATTATTATTATTATTATTATTATTATTCAAAATAAAAATTATAGAAAAAGGAACAAGTGAACAATTTAATGTGTAATATTTTCTAAATGATTTATAATATTATATCACTTATAACAGAAACTTTCAAATAAATCAAAACATTTATTATTACTAAACAATTATTATTTAGCATTTTATTTTCTATAGTATTGAAGTGACATATTTAGCATTAGTGCTGCATGATTAATCGTATCACAATCATGACGTCAGCGACTGTGCCGTTATATGACGCAACAATGTTACAATTGTAATAAAAAAATTAATAAAAAAAAAAAACATACTTTGACAACAGTTTTCTGATTTCCATGTCGCTAACAAAACAAACAAAATGTTTATCTCATATTAGGGCTATCATACTGGGATCAAAATGTATTTAAATCTGAGATGCAATTTTATATATATATATATATTTTTTTTTTTTTTTTTTTTTTTTAGGCCTCCCTAATTAATTTTTAGTTATAATAATTTTTTTATCACCAGCCACTGTGGCTAGTACTTTTTCAACATTACTAGCCACTCTGCATTTTCACTAGCCAAAATTTTGTTGTTTGTAAAATACATTTTATATGCAGAAATTTGACTGCGGCTTGATAAAATGACTTGATTTAGATTAGATGGATGAATTTCAACCAGCCAAAGTGGCTAGTGGGAGTGGCTCTCTAACCCTGCCACAGCTGAAATCTATCCGCATATGGTGGGTGTTAATATCAAGCACTGACTATTATTTATAATAATAATTATAATAAATTATAGCTATAGTTCTTAAAAAGAAAAAAAAGAAAAGAAAAAAAAAGCACCTAAATATCAGAAATTAGAATAAGTCAAGAAAAAAGCAATTGGTGCATATTGAATTTCTGATTATTACTAATTAAACTAATAAAAATATTCCCAAATCGCGCAGCCCTGTTTAGTATTAAATTACAATATTTTATAACATAATTACATTTTTCCATACTATATTTTATAAAACAGCATTCCATTTGTTATGCAAAAATACATTTCTTGATTAGTTTTTTTTTTTCAAACAAAATTATAAGAATTGTATTTAATAATATATGTTATATAATTTATAATGTACTATATAAACAACTACAATAAGCATTTAATTTATTACTTTTAATTCAATATTTTATATTATAATTTATACAGATGCATTGTATTTTCTTATACAATAAAAAACTAAATAATAATATAAATAAACATACTACAAAATAAAATTCAAAAACATTACATTCAAGCTGTATTACATTCATTAAGCTGTTCATACCTGGATATTCTGGGAAACAAATACTAAGCGGGCTCATCCTGATCTTCTCTTCAAACAGATCCTTCTTGTTGAGAAACAGGATGATGGAGGTGTCCGTAAACCACTTGTTATTGCAGATGCTGTCAAACAGCTTCATGCTCTCATGCATTCGGTTCTACAAAGGAGACAAAACGAGCACCGTTTGAGAGGAATGTCCCAATGCAAAGCTTCTCAAAGAGCAGATTTAAATTTTTCTCACCATCTCCTCATCCTCAGCCAGGACCAGGTCATAATCACTGAGGGACACGCAGAAGATGATGGAGGTCACTCCTTCAAAGCAGTGAATCCATTTCTTCCTCTCAGATCTTTGGCCACCTACGTCAAACATCCTGAAAAGCAGAGGAGAGCTGTTCAGCAAGATGCATTCTGTGCAGGGCGGTACCAACAGAGGGCGGAAAAGAGTGGAACTGTACCCCCAGATCCAATCTTAGGCTACAAAAAATATATAAAAAATGGATAAAAAGCTTGATATTTTTAAGACCAAACAACTGTGAGTGACTGTTTAAATGTAGTAGTTTATTTCTGTCACAGGATTAACTTACGTTTTTGGTTTGAACATAACCTTGGAATAAAAGTAGCAAAAACAAATGTGGCCTGAAATGGAAAAAAATGTTCAACTGCATTCACACTAACACAATAATGATCTGCTAGTGTTGGGGTGATACAGTAGATTTTCAGATCACCCTAATTTCCAGCTATGAGATTGCACTATTCGATCACAAGGGGGAGTAGTAGTTATTGTTTACTTATTTGCTCCATCATTTAATCACTTTTAAATGCATGTTTTAAACTCTTCATCTTTTTTCTACTAATGTAATCAACTTGCTTTGCATTTTGTTTTATCTTGTAATATAACTCAAACAATTCTAGCTAAATTAGGTGCCAAGACATAAATAACTTTAAACATCAGACTTGATGCATCCTAATGTGGTACAGGACAAGATTTGGTGCAGGAAAATTGATATGTAAAATAATAAGTTGATCCACATTTACAAGCATAGGCAAACAAAACCAAAAACAATGCATTACGTATACCAGGCCATTAATGGATGCGGTCATTATGCTAGTAAACAGTACCTGTAGGGAATATGTATATGGTTAGTATATGTCTCCTCTGTTGGTTGTACTGGCAAGTAGATTCACACTTTACAGATGAAGTGTTAGCAAACTTCAAACCACAACTCTACCACAGAGTTTCCGTTTCCGTTAATCTACAATTGCTCAAACATGTACCATGTATGAAAATGACATCATCTTTTTCAAGAGTCTTGTTTTGGGGTTCACACAGACATGACAATGGCTGCATTTTCAAAAACTTCTACTTTATTGTGGATTTATGGGTTTTTCAGTCAAAAAATGCTATTGTTGTGTAAATGAACCTGGGGAAATGCATAAAAAGTTTTACGTTTTCTGGCTGAAAATGTTGTGTAACCTGCCATCTAGACTCCTAACAGCCCCCCAAAAAACAGAGAACCTCCAATCCCCTTAATCTGTTCACTTAAAGCAATTTCACTGTCAATAAACAACACTGAGGTGTAAACATCAGTAACATTACAGAAATTACAAACAATATAATAAATAATATGAAAAATAAACTAAAATGCAAAATGTTTAAATTTGATTCACATTTACACCTGAAAATCTATGCATTTTCTACATTACAACAATATTTAATATATAGTTTACTACATAAACTATTTTTTTTTTTTAATTATCCATCTAAAAAAAAACTAAATGCCATGGTAAAATATATTTTATTTTTATTATTCTATTATTGTGTAAATTTATTCTAATATTACTACATTACTAATTACTATATTAAGATCAAAAAAGACAGACACCATTGTATTATCTTCAAGAATAAATATTAGTGACATTTAATAAAATATTGGCTGTACTAAGTCTTATTCTATATTATTTATTATTATATAAAACTGCATTCCATTTAATATTGCATGGAATTAATTTCTTTAGTTGTTTTTATAAGCACAAATGTTATACAAAAAGCTATACAAATATATTTTCTATATGAAATATAAGGTGCTACATGACAAAATATTTAAATCGGCTCTGGAGTTGAAACAGTAACATAATAAAAAAAGTAAGAGGACCTGCCTGAAGTTGGGGCTGACGCAATCATCATAGCAGCGTCAGCCAATGAAATTAGTTTGCAATCAGCTACTGTCTGACCTGGTGTATTTGCATAAAGTGATCGGATTGGCTGATTCTTCGATTGGCACTTAAAAAGTTACGCTTTATTTACAGGAGGCGTCAGTGTCAATGCTTCTCATTCATTTTGAAGGGGTGACGTCAAGCATTGCCAAACTAAATTGTGGATCCGTGTGCAGAGGTTGGGAATTTCTCAGCTTTTCAAGTGCCAATGGAAGCGTCAGTTAATCAGATCACTTTATGCAAATACACCAGCTGAGACAGTTGCCGATTGTTTATTAATTTCATTGGCTGATGCTGCTATGATGATCTTGTCAGCCTCAACTTCAGACAAGGCCTCTGTCAAGTGTTGACGCTGAAGCCCTGTGTGAATCGAGCATTAAGAAATGTCTTTAACTTCTGCAGCGATCACCGCTATTGTAGTGGCGCGGACGGGTCCACAATTCAGTTCGGCATTGCTTGACGCTACCCATTCAAAGTGAATGGAAAGCATTGACGCGGATGCCCTGTGTGAATGGGGTTTAATATAGAAAAATTATCAAGTAATGAAATCTCATTACACTCCATGAAATAAATAATCATTTTACAAAATTTACATTAGTAATGATGTCTCTTACTTTGGTATGCCCAGAATTTGTTTGATGTTTCAAATCGAACTAAGTATAATTTATTATTACCTGCTGAAAATGTCAATTTTGGGGTCAAAATAAAAGACATAGTTTCTGTGCCTTTAAATGCAAATGAGCGGTTTCTTCTTACCCTGTGCTCGAAATAGATGCCATGATAAGAGCAATGATGGAATGAAACCGAGACAGTCAGAAATGCCAGCATTAAGGCTGAACCAGGAACTTTCAGAATCACTATATAATTACTATATTTATCTTTTTTGCGATGATGAATGATCCACAAACAAACACTGTTACAATGTTCACTATGTCCTATAAATAAACACAAAATAAACATGTACTTTTAAATAAAGAAATGAAAGTATTTAAATAGCGCATGGAATTTATAAGCACCCTGCCTCATGACTCACCATCACAACTCAGTTCATAGCATACCTTGAATAGACTATTTGGTGTTTGTTAGTATTGTAACTTGGGTTGAGTTGTAGTTGGGTTAAATGGCATAGCTTTTATTGTGATTTTTTTGTCATTGTGTAGTTTTGTATTTATCTATATTTATTTAATTGTGTATATATATACTTTTAATTATTAATATATATTGTGCAAATGTAAAGAATTGTTCTATAATAATTAATTCAGCTTTCTTTTGAAAGTCATTTTTAAAAGTATCACTTGGTGACCTATAAAGAAAATTTAGGTATACCTAGGAAGAGTCAAATAATAGTTCAGTACTTAAAAAAATAGCCATACAGTGAGCCTCAAACACCATTGTTTCCTCATCCTCATGTAAATTCCGCGAGTATAAAACCCTGGTAAAAACCAGGCTTATGAGAACGCAATGCAGACTGTTATGTTGCTCACAAGGCTAGTCATTAGCACGCTTTTAAGATTTGCATGTTCTTTAAGACCTGCATGAGAATCCACATAATCAGAAGTTAAGCTGTAAAAACACAGACTGATGTTGCTCATCATTAATATGCACGCCACAGGCACCAATTGATTGGACACAATGTTTCCTAGTGAGATTACAGCAATGATAATTTTCCTGTCCTTTTTAAAGTTTATATAAAACTTGCTATGTATTAGAGAAGTTACGATCGATCGCCATCGGCTGATAATCACATTTCATGACTCGAGCGGTACTCATTGATCTAACCGATCTTATGAACCCATCACAAAAGTTTGTTTACAAGTATACAAGCAGAGGAAGACCCAGAGCAATGTTTCCAAATTGCATTGTTAGTCATTTTTCTTACCATTTTTAAAATTTGTTTTTTCCATTTTCTTTTCATAAAGTGGCTTCTGACCATTACATACATGCAACATCCTTAATTTATTATCTTAGGTAAGGAAAGATCTCATACTTAAAGGGTACTTGTGCTTATGCAATGGCAAAGTTATAATAAGCTTGAAGAATCAGAATTGGTACTCGGTATCAGCTGATCACCATGACAAGGAATCGGTTCTCTGTATCGGCTTCTAAAATCCTGATCGGAGCATCCCTACCATGCATGTGTGACTCAACCAGATGGTTTTCGATAAGCAATCTATTCATATGCGCATCTGGATGCAAAATGTACAATATGCGAATTAAAATATGTATTCAGTAAGGAATAGGTTATCCAATAGTAAATCATTCAGTAATAAAATAAGGAAAGTTTGTTTATTTTTTTAATGTATTGTGTTTGTGAAATTTCAACATACACATGTAGATTGCGGAGTAAGTGTGTTCTTATAAAATGCACCATTAAAAATAGTGTCTTAACACTCAACTATAATTGTCAATTTTCTGAAGTGAAAGAATAGCAATGCACTTTATTAAATGCCATTTGCTTGCGCAGAGCTTAATATTAATTCCTGGCTGTTTCGGTCTGGTTTTTTTTTTTTTTAAGTTTAATCATAGTTTAGCATATATTTTATTCACAACACAACTCAGGACCAAAATAGATTACTTCAGTGGTTTTAATAGATAGCTTGCTCACTCCACATAGGTAAAATCAACTTCCAGTACTTAAAGGGCCATGAAACCCCCTCGTTTCAGCAGGGTGTTTTCACACCTCTACTTTGGAAAAAGTCAGAAAAGTGGGCGTGTCCAGCTCTGTTTAGGGGGGAGTGTCGGAGGAAGAAAAGTGGGATGGTGTGGGAGTGTCTATTTGGGCACGCGCGAGTTTCAGAGTCAAAATACACACACACAGTAGAAAGTGATGGTGTTTAACCTACATGGACATCTGTAGTCGAATTATTTGCCAAATTATTAAATGGTGGAATTTAACTGCAGTTTGGCTCTTTCATTCAGGGAATTCATTCATGTCCCTCGCGACAAACGAGATATTTGATTCGAGGAACTGCTGTAAGCGTGTATTTTTCATGCAATGTTTGATACCGCACGGCGAATGAGAGAAAAAAAAACTCCGCATTTCCCGGAAACTTAGATGCACACGGCAGGTAGAGTCAGAAAGCCGCGTGTGTTATTCCGGTCACTTAATGCGGTGAAAACCCTACACGAGGTTAAAGTTTGGTTGTAGTGCTAACATGTCTACACTCAGTCCAATGGTTAACTTAGTTCGATACGAACAAACTGAATAAACAAAGAGCAATGGTCGCTCACTTACCAAATCTGTAGAGACAGGACAATCACCAGCAACTAGAGCCGCGTCTTTATTAAGAGAAGACTACAAGCGAATCCGGAACTCAGCGTTTGCAGATGAGAACAGCTCTCAGGTAAACAATGTTCCTCCTTAGACACGCAAGTTATTTTTGACGAGCGTCGCGTACACTGTAATCCACACGCGAGTCTGAGCTCTCACAGAGAGAAAATGAAAACGAAACTTAACTGCAGCAAACTATAAAAGCAACACTTCACGCTTGTTTTGTGAGTGTCGTCTAAACACTGTGACAGTAATGAATATTAATGAAGTTGCACAATATAGTGCGCTGATTGGTTTGAACAAAGCCTTACTCATGCATTAATGCAACACACTGTAAGACGTAATAAGACACACTCTGGCACAGACGTCCAGTCTGCACGCTAGAAATGCTATTATGTCATGACCGTGACGCAGCTTCAAAAATTTGTTTCAAACCGGAAGTACGAATTTGCTTGAAATAACACAAAAACAACCAATTTACACTTTTTAGTGAAATATAGGTGTCCTAATAGTGTTTTTAGCAGTGTGGGACACATATACGACTGGCAACAGCTCAAAAAATGTGTTTTGGTGTTTCGTGACCCTTTAAGTTAAAAAGATTGAACAACTCATCTACTACGCTTGTTAAATTAGAGCTCATTAACATTCATGACCATTCCAAATTTGGTCAATATGGAGATTCTGATTCATGGGGTTTTTATGGGGAAATAAATGAGCATATAAAAACAGTTTCTGGATTTTTTTTACTTGCCTAAGCCAGATATCTACTATGTAGATATCGGAGAACAATTTAACATGTTGAATCAACGAATAGTCAATTGCACACTTAAACATATCAATTAATGTCACTACTATAGGAAAAACCCAAACATTAACTGACCCTAGTTTTGGATTTTAAAATTAAAAACTCACTTGAAGTGAAGATCCTTGAATGTGAAGTGGGTTTCCACAATACCAGTAGTCTTCACTCTGGTCCTCAGAACATCTTGCTGTGTTGGGACATATGAACTATTGGATATTCTGTCCAGATCATTCAGGTAGCTAAAAAGAGAAAATACTGTTCAGTTCATAAAAAATAAATAAATAAAAATTCAAACCATCCTCTTAATTATTTAACTTATCTGTAAAAAGCAAAACAAAAAAAGCCATTCGATCAGTTTATTTAGAATAAAAATGTAAATTCTATAGTAATTCTGCTTGATTGTTGCACTAAATAAAAAATGCCCTTTTATAAAACATCTCCATACAGGTGACAATGTTGTTTAAAACAACTAAAACATATAATGCATGCCAGGTCAGTAGTTGGCGATGTCACTTTAACAAACACTATACACATGGGCTGTATCCAAAACTGCCCCCTATACCATTAAACAGTGCATTACCCTATACCATTAAACAGTGCATTATTTGCGGGAGCAGGCAATTGTAGTGGCCCAAAACTATAGTGGATTTTCTGAAGTGCACTCAATCAATCCCACAATGCATCGCAAAAACAAGTGTACAAAAGAAGTACACTCAACAGCTAGAGAATACCCATATAATCTCAACCCTTTATAATATTAATATACATGCACATGTAATGCACATGTCAAAGTAAAGCTGTACAGGTCTTTAACGTGTCTTATAAGAAGCACTTCTCACAAAACAGATACTTCATACACAAAAAATTCTCTATAAATGTTTATTACTAATCTTTCTCATAATCAACATAATTTCTCATAATCAACATAATTTAAAAGGGTAGCCAAAAAGTGGTACGGTACGGTTCGCTTTTTGGTAACTTTTGACAGTGGAATTGGCCACAAAAGTGTACAAACATGTACCGTACTGTACCACTCAATGAATACGGACCATAAGGTTTAGTTTTAGCATACTGTGTTGACATTACATTTTCAGCTCAACAAAGGCATGAGTTTGAGGAGGGGATATTTGTATTATTGACCAATCAAATTATTACTTTAAAGGGCACCTATGGTGAAAAATGTACTTTTCAAGCTGTTTGGACAGACATGTCTGTAGATATAGTGTATAAACCGTCATATTGGGGTGATATAAACACACAGCCCTTTTTTTTTTTTTTTCAATTTAACAACATAAAAACGGTGGCACAATTGGAGCGGTTTTTAGATCAACCACAACTTGACGTAGGAGTGCGTTTCCCCCGCTCAGCAATATTGATTGACAGGTGCATCACCATATCCTTGGTTTGTTGTTTCACGTCCGCCATTTTCAGCGCGAGTCAAAGCGATATCACTAAAGGAACACACTTGCTCTATTTTTAGATGTAACTTCAGCCGTTTGCATTTCTCGCGAACACAGAAGCTCCCAGTGAGTGTGATCTTAACTAGGTGCAGCTGGAAAAGTGCAAGCGCGTTGCCTCATGTGCGCGTCTCTCCATTGGAAATAAAATAAGTACCTTGCCTGCAGGTCGCATACCAGAATCGCCACGCAGAGCGGCGATTCTGGTATGTGACCTGCAGGCAAGGTAGTTATTTTATTGCAGAGCCATGCATTTTAGAATTCTAAACATAGGTTTCTATCAGGGTGCACACAACGGCGCTTCAAGTCAGCGGCTGGGCACAGTTGTCGACTTGAATCGATGTTGTGTTTAGCCTGATAGAAACCTATGTTTAGAATCCGAAAACGCATGGCGCTGCGATTCGGGACACTTCATGTTTCTGCCGCGCCACAAAGTGTCTGGTGTGCCGTGTCGCGGCTTCAAGCGGCGCATCCGGTGCCTCAGTCAGGTTAATTCAGTGTGCGTGGTCAATAGTCTCCGTGTACTTCACTTCACCACTTCACATCCTAATCTGCAATTGCCTCTTTGAATATCACACTAACTGTACAAAAAAAACAGACCTGAAACTTGCCTTTAGTACTTATTCATTGTTGCTCTTAGTTGTGTAAATTGCTTCCTTGTCCTCATTTGTAAGTCGCTTTGGATAAAAGCGTCTGCTAAATGACTAAATGTAAATGTAAAAGCTCGGCACTTAAAACTAGCACACAGTTGGGTGTAAAACTATACAAAGACACAAATGATTGTGTACTCCCTGCTTGGTCTGTGTCCGAGTCTTACATGTTTGGCTGAAGAGCTGGTAAGCTCTTGGCTCCGCCCCCTTGTTACGTTGGGCAGAAAGCTGAAACTAATTTTCATGTAAAGCAACACATCCCTAAAACAGCGAGCTGTGTACACGCCCCCAACATGACACTTTTTAACACATTATAATAAAAAAATCTGAACTGTGTTTTAAATCGAACCTAAACTGGTACACTCAGAAGAACCATAATACTAATATTAAATCATAAAAAAAAGGGTAAACTATGTGCCCATTAAAAAGAATTAAGTATGTGATGTGACTTAAATGTAAACAATTTAATTAGGTTTAAGTTGTTGATCTTGCAGAACAAGTGTTACATGATAATGCAATCACAAGAAACCCATGTATTCGATAGATTACAAGTTGACGGTAAGGTGTAGTAATTCAAAAATAGATCTAAAAGCATTTATTATTCATTTTTATTAAGACTAAACTGTATTTACATGACTAGAAACCTAAATGAAAGCATCAATAGAATAAAACAAGTCATTTTGACTCATGTAGAGCAATTTAGTAAAGTAGGTAATTTTCTCCTGTTAGCAAAAACGAGTGTCCCATCTAATCTTGTGTGGAAATGACAAGATAATACTTATGAGAAGAATTAAAGAAAATAGTAAGTGATATTTTTATATTTCCAAAATATTAGCATTCTTTCATACTGATTATTCTTCATTATCAATTTTTTTTTTTTTAATTCTTAAAAAAAAAATATATAATAAAAATCCAATAGATGTTTAAATGTCCTCAGTAACATTTTTTTTCATTCAAAATTTGAAATTCTAATCACCCTCACTTCATCTTGCTCATCTGGGTTATATGCAAACAGTATGGGTTCCCAGAATGCTTGGAGAACACAGCACAAATTTGCATTTTTGAAAAGTTTGCATAAAGCATATTTGAATCATAGGCCATAATGGATGGAATAATGTCTATAATAACTCAATGTGAACGAAATGTCGGCACACATTACACGTATGACGTGGTCAGTAACCACAATGTAAATTGGAGAAGGATTACGTGGTGATCTCAGAGGTCATTATGTGAAAACCAGGCCAAAAGCATGGCAGATATACTCACTATGAGGCAGAGTCATTGAGCTGGTACTCTCTGGAGCGATGGAAACAAAGCCGTACGCCTTCATCCCTCCAGAGCCGCTTGATTACTCCGGCAAGCTCACTCGTCATGAAACCCTCATCTACGGAGCCGGCCATCACAAACAGCTGTCTTGCGTCATCCTACGACAGTCAAGCCAATCAAATGAATTATGTATTCTGTTTTTTCCTCCATTTGCAACATTAGCATTACATAAATAAGTGGACTGGAAATTCTCTGGCCTGCATTTAACCCCACTTTGCAGTACAGCGACAGCACTTACAGCTCGTTCAGGATCCGCAAAGTCAATCCTCAGGCGGCCCATGGCTCTTATGATGGCAATGATGGACTGGATTGTGTTGCTGTAAACCACGACTCTGTATTGTTTGCACTCTTCCTCTGAGTACCCCGCTTCATGGATGATTCTGTGAAAGAGAAGGACAATAATTGTTAATTGAACTAATAGAGCTAATGGTTTCTGGCACGTGTAATGCGAATATAGTCCCTGCTGAAAAGGCTGGAAGTGTTCGGCTGCTCGCTGTGCCAAACAACACCCATTAAAAGTGAAGGTATAATCACTGTATTTGCTTACAAAGTGCAGCAGGAAGGCTTTCGTAAGCCAAAACGTGCATAAAGTTGATGGGTTTTTAGAATGGGGGTTTGGTAAATTGCCTTAAATAGAGTCTGTCGCTTATAGAATCTCAAAAACAATTCACTTTTTAATGTGTAACTCTATACAAATAATTGTATTTACTAAGTGGCTAAATTTAAACTTGCATTTAGCAGACGCCTTTGTCTAAAGTGACTCAGCAGGTTTTCTGCAGGTTTCATCATGTAAAATGTAAGACCTTTTGTAAGACCATTATGAATTGAATTTTAGACTTATAAAGGGCTAAAGACTAATGATTATTTGTAATAGCCTGGTTGGGCCAACGGAATGTTTTTTGCTTGCCACAATCAAAAAAAAATTCTTATTATTTCTTAGTGACATACTTTAATGCAGGGGTTTTCAAACTGTGGGGCGCACCAGCACCTATTAAGACATTGAGGAGTGCACTCGAGTAAATTATGATTCATTTACTCGAGTAAATGAATGAATGAATGAAAACTGGTGAGCCGGCGAAACGTCCTACATGACGGTAATAGTTTGATTGCGGCGTTTACTTCAATAATGCCACTAATATATGCATACTGCCACTAAAATATGCATACTTCACATGTCTTAACTTCGTTTCTGTTTAGTTCAGTTATGACTTTTGTCGAATTAAGGTGATCAAAAACTTGCTGTTTACAAGCAGACTTTTAATCAGAGTATTGTCTTAACCATATTCAAATCGTGTTAAATTATTTTTGGCCATTTAAACACTCAATGTTCTCTACACCATCAGGGCTCTGTGAACTTGGCTTTGCGAAGCAGCATTTTCTGTATGTACGTACATCAAAATCAAGTATGCTATGGCTCACGCTTATCCGCTTGTTAAGTGTGACGTCATGCGGAGCGGCTTTCGGGTCCAAGCGCTCTATTTAACTGAATGGGGAGATTCATGAAATGGTAATAATAAACGTTTACAAAGCGATTTAATACTTTCGAAAGTCACGATCGCAATATGTCCATGCCTAATATCCGATGTCCAGAAAGTGATTCATCGTTTTATAAATTGTTAAAATTTTGGTATTTGTTATGCAGCAAGCCCAGAGATTGTTGTGTACACTATGACTTTATGTAAAATTAACTTTAATGTGTGATAGGAATAAAACGCGATCATAAACGAATGATTTCTCCACTCAAATGAATGGCGGCTTGGACCCGGAAACAGTATACATACGTCACAAACACGTCACCACTTAACAAGCGGATTGACAGTGGAAGATGAGTTACAGTTAGTTGTGTCAGGAATCCGGCTCAGCCATCACACTGAATCAGGTAAGCTATATATTTATGCTTCAATGTAATTAATGCTACGCATTTTTAAAAAATGTTTGCACATGCATTGTCATTTTGGCTCGAGGGAGGGGTGCCTGGGGGTGCGAGTGAAGTTGTACATGAAATTGTGCATGTCCTAAAAGTTTGAAAACCCCTGCTTTAATGTGCCAAATTAGGAAAACTGCACTTGTGTGAAGCACACTTCATAAATGCGCTATGATTTTTTGTGTGTGTATGTGTGTGTGTGTGGAGCAAATTTGCAAAAAAAGGTGCAGGTGTTGTTTAAAGTAGGGATGCAACGATTAACTGATTTCACTATTAATCACGCTTTAATTCATCATGGTTAATTAATCATAAGGGCCTTTTAACACCATGTTTTAGAACAAAACAAAACTGCTGCAACTAAAAGTTGTCAACTGTGTGCTAGTTTAAAGTTTTGAGCTTTTACACTGAGACTAATAACCACGCACAGTGTATTATCTATGACTGAGGCAATTAAATAAGGCAAGTTTGTTATTTTTAAGGAGGGAGGCGTACGCGACGTCATCACACTTTTTAGGCGCACCTAGTTGAGATGACAGGGAGCTTCTGTGACCGCAGGAAATACAAATGGCTGAAGTTTACGGAAGATGCAACAAAAGGTACAGAGGTTCTCAAACCCACCTAAAGTTACAAATAATGGCGCTAATAAGAGCAATCGTGGTTAATGTTGATCTGCCAGCCGAGATTAACCAAGTGTTTTCAGAGAGAGTGCTGAAAGTCTCGAAGTGGATGAGCTGATGAGAATCCGGCTCCCCGCCTCTTGTTTATTGGGCTGGCTGTCTCACTTGTTTTTTTCCACTAACACACAAAAACGTGAATCTGCGCAAAACGAGACTGAACATTTAAAATGACACAAACTGAAATCAAAACTTTTAAAGAGAGGTAGAAGTGAGACTTTTCTTCTATTCATTTGTCCATTCTATCTTTTATTTTTCTATTTAGTTACTGATGACTTGAGCATTGAACTAAATGATTTATTCTAATCTTACACTTCTGTTTTGAAGCAGAAATATGATTAGTTCATTAAATTCAGATGGTTATAAAACCAATAGTGCAAAATGTATATTTCTTACTGCAATGCTTTTTTTTTTTTTTTTTTTGCAAACCATAATTTTTTTTTTCATGATGTAACATTCAGGGCAGCATGATGATGAGAAATGCAATTTATAGTTAGTAATATTTTTATCATCATCATCATAAACATTATTATTCTATAAACATTAGACATTCATTTTGGAATTATTGCACAAACACCAATAAGTCATTACAGAATTAGATGGTTTTTGTTGGTCCTGATTGATGCCGTTTTCAAATACAATAAACTTATGGTGCTCCTAAACTTTTGAAGTTGGGAGCACCGGTGCTGCCAAGTCAAAAAAAGGTAATTTCAAGCCCTTTAAACAAATACATATTTATAGACTATGAATAACACTTTAAAATATAAGGAGTTTTCATGTGATTGTCTAAACTTGTATTTAGTAATTAGTATTATTATTAGTATTTTAATAAATGCATAATAATCATGATAACCATGAAACAGGGATTATTCCTCAGACTATAATCGTACAACCAAAATCTATAATCGTTGCATTCCTAGTTTAAAGTGTCAGAGAGATTAAAGAGCGCCTTTTCTACAGGTGGTTTGTGAAGCCCACTCACCTGTGAGAGGCACACTCAAAATAAATAATGTTTTGGGGTTGTCGTGTGTTGGGTTAAAGAGGTTACCAGAGTCAATAAGGGTACATTTTACACAATTATATTATTAGTATACGTTTATACAACACTGAAAAAGTATTGTGATTGTCTGTTGTCCTCTGTGAAGCAATAAAGCTAGGGCTAAATGGTAAATTGCATGCTATTGTCATACACATTCTATAAAGCTGGCCCAACAATCAGCTGTGAATCTCCAAAATTTACTACACAAAGCAATAGTTTTCTGCCTAATTATGCAAAATATTGCATGCAATATCATCCTGCGATAGACGAACCGCAAACAATCATTCTGCAATATTGACAGCTGTTTACATAGCTTCTCTGTAAATTATGGCCTTTAGTAGTGAATGTTGCAAATGTTAAAGCTGAAAGCACATGCAAATACCACATGCAATGACCTTTTTACTCAAAACTTACTTCATAGCTTCAGTTGAGTGTCTGAATTAATTTCTTTTGTGAAATATAACCTCTGACACAGAATAAAGCATGCATCATGTATCATAATAGCATTCTAAGCAGTGACAAATGTGTTGCATGATTACTTCATACTCTTGAGTAAATTTGCTACTGATCACATCATCGCCATACCTTAATGCCTCGTTTCTACTGACTGGTACAGTACGGTACGGTTCGGGTCGGTACGGGTCACCTTTATCAGGCTTGTGTTTCAACCACAAAGGGTACCCTTTTGGTGGGCGTGATGTATGACAAAGTTTAAGTCGACGTTATGCTCGCTCGAATAAATGGTCTACAGTAAAGCTGTACGGGTCGTTCACATATCATAATGAGCAGCACTTTCCACAAAACAGATGCTTTATACACAAATACCTAATTATAAATGTTTATTACTAACTTTTTCTGTGAACAGGATTTGATTATAACTGCAGATCAATGACAGTGCAAAATAGGTAACTGTAACATCTGTAATTATATAAAATAAAAACATAAATGCAACATATGAACACATACCGCCCCTTACAGTCTCCGAAATATTTTTCATTACAGAAAAAAATTACACACAGCAAACATTTAGTACTTATTTGATTTCAAAAACACACGCAATATAGCCCACAGACAACACAAACCTCTCATCTTTGTCTGTAATCTTTAGCAGCACATGCAAGCTCTGTTAGGGAGTAATTTTGTCATTCCCAGTTCATAATAACCCAAAAGACAAAGATAAACATGGCAGTTTGTTCATGATTCAGGTTGCTAAAACAATTTTTGCTCCTGTGTTTTGACGGCTTCTTTTTTTTTTTTCTCGCGTTTTACTCCCGTTTCACTCTCGCGCTTGTCTTTTTTTTCTGAATGGATCAGATGACGGAGACACTTCAATAAAAACACACACACGTTATTATCATCAGCTCAAGAAGATTGTTATATCAAATATAGATGCGATCGTGAGCTCCCGGAAGAAAGCGAATACTGTTTCGACTTTGTATTAAAAAACATGGCGATTCCTTTGTTTACGTTCTGTGCATCTCCACGAGCTCATAACGTATCTCTGTAACCAATTAGCGTTCAGCTGCATGTGTAGCTCCACCTTTTGGTACCCTTTCTCCCGTTTGGTACCCTTTCGAAAGGGTGCCGAAAAAGTGGTACGGTATGGTTTGGTTCGGTACGCTTTTTGACAGTGGAAACGGCCATAAAAGCATACCAAACCGAACCAGACCGCACCACTCAGTGGAAACGGGTCATTACATTTGCAAATGTGCTATCGAGATTTAGTTTAGCCGTAATTCAAAC